CCTTTTGTTTAACAGTTGTTACATCAATCATTTTCCCCTTCTCACATCTATACTAATAATAAAAGGGTAATATGCTAATTAGACCAGGAGACCTTCTGGACATCCTTCCGGACAAATCCAAGAGGCAGTTAGGGGCAATCAGGCCAGGAGGGGAGGGCAGTTGGGGGTGATCAAGCTAATGGGGGGGGGGGGCAGTTGGGGGTGAGTAGGCTGGCAAAAGGGTAGTTGAGGGAAATCAGGCCAGAAAGGGTAAGTTGGAGGCAAGCAGGCCAGCAGGCAGAGTGGTTAGGGGCAATCAGACAGGCAGGCAGGTGAGCAGTTAGGAGCCAGCAGTCCCAGATTGTGAGAGGGATGTCCAACTGCCGGTTTAGGCTCTGTGGAATCGGGCCTAAACCGGCAGTCGGACATCTCCCAAGGGGTCCCAGATTGGAGAGAGTGCAGGCCGGGCTGAGGGACACTCCCACCCCCGATACATGAAATTCATACACTGGGCCATGAGTTTTACTATAAGCAGCAAAAAGAAACCTGACATCTTCACATGAGATATTACAAATACTTTCAGAAGAATAAAAATAAAAAATAGAACATAACAAAATGTATGGGAAGCATATAAAGCAGCTCTTAGAGAAAAAATTATAATTATAAATGATTATATTAAAGAGAAAGAAAAATCTCAAATCAATAACCTAACTTTATACCATAAGACACTAAAGCAAGACAAGCACACTATATTCAAAGCAGACAGAAGGAAGGAAATGATAAAAATTAAAGCAGAAATAAATAAAATGGATAATAGAAAAATAATGGAGGAAATCAGTAAAACCGAGAATGGATTACTTAAGAAGATTAACAAACTTTATTAAGATAAGAAAGAAAAGAAAAATATTTTAATTACTAAAATCAGGAGTTAAACTGAGAGACATCATTTCCAAGATCACAGAAATAAAAGGATTGTAAGAAAATATTATGAAGAAATGAATACCAAAAATTTAGATAACATAAATTGGACAAATTTCTAGAAAGATACAAACAGTGAAATTGACTCAAGAAGAAAAAGAAAACATGTATAGGCCTATAATATGTAAAAAACTGAATTCATATGTTAAAAAATTCTCCATAAAGGAAAGCTCAGGCTCCAATGGCTTCACATGTAAATTCTACCAAACATTCATAGAATTTATACTACTCCTTCACAAACTCTTCCAAAACAGAAAAGACAGAACCACTTCCAACATGATTAGATCAAACCAGTATTACTTATATTAAAGCTAGACAAAGATATAACAGGAAAAGAAAACTACAACAAATATATCTTATGGATATAGACACAAAGTCCTGAACCAGAAGAAATTATTCCTCAATTAAAAAGGTAATACTAGCAAACCAAACCATGCCTTATATAAAAACTAGAGGCCTGATGTACAAAATTCCTGCAAGAGTAGGCCTTCCTTCCCCTGGCTGCTGGTACTGGCTTCCCTGTGGCACACAGGACCCGGGCTTCCCTCCCAGCCCTGGCTTTCTCTGGAAGGTTGTCCAGAGGGATGTCTGATCTAATTAGCATATTATACTTTCATTATTATTGATGTTATTCACCATGACCATGTGGGACTTGTCCTAGCAATGAAAGGTTAATTTAATTTCTGCAAATTAATATAATACAATGAATAAAAGACTAAACAACATATTCATCTCAATAGATTCAGAAAAAACATGTGATGAAACACAAGGACTTTTCATGATAAAAGCAATAAAAAAGTCAGGGACAGAAAGAACTTTCTTTTAAAAAAAATTTTTTTATTGATTTCAGAGAGGAAAGGAGCGGGAAAGAGAGATAGAAACATCAATGATGAGAGAGAATCATTGCTCTGCTGCCATCTCCATGCCCCCTACTGGGGATTGAGCCTACAACCCTGGCATGTGCCCTGACCTGGAATCAAACTGAGACCTCCTGGTTCATAGGTTGATGCTCAATCACTGAGCCACTGAGGCCGGGTGAAAAGAATTTTCACTTTGATAAAAAGCCATCTATGAAAACACCCAACGCTAACATGAAACTATGTAGTGAAAGAGTTAATGATGTCCCTTTATGATCAGTGACAATACAAGGATGCTTGCTCTTACCACATATATTCAATGATGCACTGGATTCCCTAGTCAGGGCAATTTGGCAAGAATAAGAAAGAAAAGGTGTTCATATATCAAAGGAAAATGTAAATCTCATTCACAGATAACATAATCTTATATTATAGAAAATCCTAAGGAATTCACACACAGAGAGACATACACACACAAAGTATTAGAAAAAAATAAATAATGAATAAATGAATTTAGCAAGGTTTCAGGATATAAGATCCAAATACAAAAATCAGTGCACTTCCAGGAGAAACCAAGATGGCGGCATAGGTAAACACCGGAAATTGCTGTCTTGCATAACCACTTCAAAAATACAACTAAAGGACAAAATGGACATCATCCAGAACCACAGGAAGGCTGGCTGAGTGGAAATTCTACAACTAGAAGGAAATAGAAAATCACACTGAGACTCAGAGGAGGTGAGGAAGTAAAGTGCAGAGGTACGGAGGTGCACGTGGAAAAGGGCTGGCAACTGAGGACACAGTTGTCTTTTTCAATTGAGAGGGAGTCTTAAGCTCCCGACTGCTCTGAACTCCAGTTCCAGGCAAGTCTCTGGGGACCCAGACTCATACAGGGAGAAACTGGACTGTCTGGCATTGGTCGGATCTCGAGGGCAGCTTTCTCTCAGAGGTGCTTGCAGTGATTACCGGGACACTGAGAGGCGGGACCTCTTAGGATAGGGCTGAGGATCTGCCATAGCTGTTTGCTTTGCCCTGTTGAATCCCTGAGATCCTGCCCCACCCAAGCTGTGCACAGAGGCTTTTGCATATGAAAGGCCTGGCCCTTTGCAATCTGAAAATTACCTAACAAACTGCAGCTGGGTCAGAGAGACCCAGAAATTCCAAAAGAAGGCCCAAGGCCCCACAGCAGCTTGAATTGCTTCATAGCTGGGCCTCATCTGGGCACCTCCAAATCCCAAACAAAGAAGAGGAATCTGCAGATCTCTCCATAGCTCCTGCTGGGTAGCCTCAGGCAGAGGCTAAATTAGCACCTCCTTAGAGATCCAAGAGCCAGTGTACCCAGTGGTCAGAGTGGGACCATCCAGATTACAACTCCTCAGATCCATAAGGGACACACAAACAGGGGGCAGACTCAGTGAGCACCAAAGCCCCACTGAAGCAAGTCTTGTCCCATAAGGGTGTCTCCAGCACAGAAGTTCTCCCACTGTAGACACAGCTGATTCTCACGCCAATTGGCCTGGAGGTCAATTCTTCCCAGTGATACCTACAACAATCAAGGCTTAACTACAACAAGACTGTGCACAAAGCCCACAAAGGGGTGCACCAAGAGTGTCCTCCTCAGGTAATTGGGGAGGCTGAGCCACTGAGCCCTAGCACAGGACACCTAGCACAGGACACCTAGCACAGAAAGCCACTCTATCAACACAGGGAAGCATAAAATATGCAGAGACAAAGAAACAGGTCACAAATGACAGAAATGGAGGAAAGCAAACTACTGGATATAGAGTTCAAAACCAAACTTATAAGGTTTTTCAAGAATTTTCTAGAAACTGCCGATAAATTCAGTGAGACCCTCAAGAAATCTAGTAAGATCCTTGAGGATATGAACAAGGACCAACTAGAAATTAAGCATACACTGACTGAAATAAAGAATATTATACAGAGTTCCAACAGCAGACTAGAGATCGCTAGAATCAAGTCAAAGATTTGAAATATGAAGAAGCAAAAATCACCCAACCAGAATAACAAAAAGAAAAAAGAATCCAAAAATATGAAGATAGTGTAAGGAGCCTCTGGGACAACTTCAAGCGTACCAACATCCGAATTATGGGGGTGCCAGAAGAAGAGAGAGAGCAAGATATTGAAAAACCTATTTGAAGAAACAATGACAGAAAACTTCCCCTACCTGGTGAAAGAAATAGACTTACAAGTCCAAGAAGTGCAGAGAACCCCAAACAAAAGGAATCCAAAGAGGACCACACCAAGACACATCATAATTAAAATGCGAAGAGCAAAATACAAAGAGAGAATCTTAAAAGCAGCAAGAGAAAACCAGTCAGTTACCTACAAGGGAGTACCCATATGACTTTCAGCTGATTTCTCAACAGAAACTATGCAGGCCAGAAGGAAGTGGCAAGAAATATTAAAAGTGATGAATACCAAGAACCTACAACCGAGATTACTTTACCCAGCAAAGCTATCATTCAGAACGGAAGGTCAGATAAAGAGCTTCACAGATAAGAAAAAGCTAAAGGAGTTCATCACCACCAAACCAGTATTGTATGAAATGCTGAAAGGTATCCTTTAAGAAGAGGAAGAAGAAAAAGGTAAAGATACAAATTATGAACAACAAATACACATCTATCAACAAGTGAATCTAAAAATCAAGTGAATAAATAATCTAATGAACAGAATAAACTGGTGAATATAATAGAATTAGGGGCATAGAAAGGGAGTGGACTGACAATTCTCAGGGGGGGAAAGGGGTGTGGGGGGTGCGGGAAGAGACTGGACAAAAATTGTACACCTATGGATGAGGACAGTGTGGGGGGGGAGGGGGGTAAGGGCAGAGGGTGGGGTGGGAAATGGGTGGAGGGGAACTATGGGGGGAAAAAAGAGGAACAACTGTAATAATCTGAACAATAAAGATTTAATTCAAAAAAATCAGTGCACTTCTATAATTAGCAATGGTCAAAATCAATGTAAAATTTAAAAAGCAACTTTGCTTACAATAGCATTAAAAAGGATAGAATTCAACACACAGGAGCAGGGACAGTGACTTGGCAATCCAGAGACACATTTGTTGGGGGAAAGGGCACAAACCACAAGGAACAATATTTCACAGACAAGCTACATTGGCATTCAAGAGAAAGGCTCCTGGCTTTCGATTCAAGATGGTGGAGTAAGATTGCTTCTCAGCCTTTTGGCTAAGATCAAGTATAGTGTCTGTTCTTATCAGTTTACTATCTGATATTTCCACTATCTAAGGACAATATATTAAATGTATTTTGGGACAGGGAGATGGAATAAGAGCTGCTTTATCCACTCATGTTTTGACCCAGTTTTACAGTACTTCCAGGAACAGTGCACCAGAAAAAATAAAAGAAAAAGATGGTGGAGTAGAAAGATCTTGAGCTTACTTCCTTTTATTGATTTAAAAACTACAACTAAATGTAGAACAGTTATTTCTGAAAAATGACCTGAAGACTAGCGGAACTTACCTAACGATATAAAGAAAAAGCCACATTGAAATGGGTATGGGAGGTAGAGACTAAGTAGAGTCAGGACCCCCCCTAGCCCACTCTCTGTGCAGTGACCTACAATAGGTAGGCATATCACAATAAGGAGGTCCATATCAAAGAACACGGTGTCTGAGCCTCAACCTGGGAACCAGCACCGGAAAAGAAGCCCTATAAGATATGGCTTTGAAACTATGTGGTGCTTATAGCTGGGAGAACCAAAAGGCTGTAGGGAAATAAGGCTGTGCTCTTTCTGAGTCCCAGCAGAAAGGCAGTAGTCTGAAAAGCACCCAGGTCATATGGGAAGGTGATTCATTAACTAATTTAGGGTGTGTGCTGGAGGGACATGGATCTCTTAGAACTTTTCTCGAGGGACAGAAGCCATTTTTCCCTTTCTTTACTCTCTTCTACCTACTTGGTCAGACACTAGTAGGCACCATTTATGATAATCTCCATTAACCTCTAACACTGTCACCCCACCGTGCCTTTTCCTTGAGGACCCACCCTGCTGGCAGCCCTTCAAAACAGCTCCTGCCCTGCCACATCCTATTGGTATTCTCAGTTGGCACCAGCACACAGCATTGTGTCTGCAACAGTCAAGGCTGGGCCTCACAGCTAGCCACCCCAAAGTCTTGCCCTGTACACAGCATGCCCACAACAGCTGCAGCTAAGCCTTAGAACCAGTTGGGCCAGGGACCAGCCTCAGTTCCTAGTGTGTCCTGAGCAGCTGTGGCTCAACCACAATAGCAGGAAACATCTCTGGTGCGCCTGGCTCTGCTGACAAAGGTGAGAATCCGCCACTGAACCTACAGGACACCTTTTAAATAAGGCCACTTTTTCAAGACCAGGAGACATAACTTAACTATCTAATATGTAGAAACAAACAGGCAAAACCAGGAGACAAAAGAATATGTTCCCAAGCAGGAAAAATATCAATACAAAATCCTAAAAAAGAGAACTAAACAAAATGGAGACACCCAGCTGGTGTTGCTCAGTGGTTTAGCATCAATCAATGAACCAGGAGGTCATGATACAATTCCCAGTCAGGGCACATGTCTGGTTGCAGGCTCAGTCCCCAGTAGGGGGCATGCAGGAGGCAGTTGATCAATGATTCTCATTCATCATTGATGTTTCTATCTCTTTCTTATCCTCTCTTTCTCTCTGAAACCAATAAAATCTATTTAATAGGTGTTTTTTTTTAAATGGAGGTAAGCTGTTTACTAGATAAAGAGTTCAAAGTAAGAGTCATAAAGATGCTCATCAAACTCTGCAGACAAATGGAAAACTTCAGAAAGGAGATGCAAACTGTAAAAAGGAACCCATCAGAACTGAAAAATATAATAGCTGAAATGAAAAATACACTAGAGGAAATCAATAACTGATGAGATGACACAGAAGAATGGATCAGCAATAAAAAAGACAGGATAGTAGAAATCACCCAACTGGAAGATCAAAAAGGAAATTAATTAAAAAGAATGAGGATAAAATAAGGAACCTCTGGCACAGCATCAAATGAACTTACATTTGCATCATAGGGGCCCCAGAAGAAGAGAGAGAAAAGTACAGAAAACCTATTTGAAGAAATAATGATTGAAGACTTCCCTAACTTGGCAAAGGAAACAGCCATCCAAGTCTAAGAAGCATAGAGAGTTCCAAAGAAGATGAACCCAAAGAGGTGCACATCATAATTAAAATGTTAAAAGTTAAAAATAAAGAATCTTAAAAACATTAAGAGAAAAACAACTAGTTACATGCAAGGGACTGTGCTGGAAGCCAATTACAGCATGACAGCAGGGCTGAATCTGGGAATGGCGGATGGCATTTCCCCAAACCTGAATAGGATACATTAAATTTATTGTTTGCTGCCAGACAGCTCAGGGCATCTTAATCTACATGTTATTGCCTCCTACTGGCCAAAAATCTTAACAGTCATAGGCTAATTCTCCTCATTCTGGCAATGGACTCTATAGGAAACCCTGACCCTTTGAAGTGTATATCTCTGCCTCGCCTCAGGACAAATTGTGTTAATAAAAAGCATGGGGTCCTGAGATGAGGAGATCCTAGTTTCCTTTAAGGTACCTCCTCTGACACTGAAATGCCTTTCAAAATTATATTTAGTCTCTGGACTCCTATTTAATCTACACACAGCCTTCTCTAGATTTCAGAACCCTTCTAGATGCCGAATCAAGACCCACCAGCGTTAAATGTCACCCAACGTCTGGCATTAGGATTGCCTATAAGACAATCAGCTGATTTTTCATTATATACTTTGCAGGACAGAAGGAAGTTGCACAATATATTCAATGTGATAAAAGAGAAAAACCTACAACAAAGGGAAATTTGACTTGTGTTTACTGTCCTCTCTCCCCCACCCACACACATTTTTTCAAGTGCTTGAGTTGTTTATACAAACATTAATTTTATTTTAGTACTGAAAAATATGATCTCTTTATACATTGGTTTAATAAATTAGAAGGCAGGGCTCTATAACTTTCAATGATAAGAGTTGAACAAAAGTCCTATATATGTTGTTGGTCAAGGCATATTAAGCACAAGGATGTGAATTGAGGGAAGATAGAGAGCTCTGCTGGCGACCACCCTAATTCTCTAACATTCTTCTTTGTGGTTTAAAAGCAATGCTTCAATAAAATAAAGTTGCAGGGGTTTCTGCCTGTCTGGTGGTAATTATGTTGTATATACATTTCCTCAGAATTCTTTAAATAATTAAGAATTGTCAAGTGTCAAAATCATATTTTTGAATATTATATTTCCCTGCCCAGTTTGGCTCAGTGGATAGAGTGTCAGCCTGTGGGCTGAAGGGTCCTGGGTTCGATTCCAGTCAAGGGCATATACCTGGGTTTCAGGCTCAATCCCCAGTGGGGGGCATGCAGGGGGCAGCTGATCAATGATTATCTCTCATCATTGATGTTTCTATCTCTCTCTTCCTCTCCCTTCTCTGAAAAAAAAAAAAAAAGAATATTATTGTATTAGTTTATCAACTTTATCTCTAAGTGATAGCCATGTTTTATAGATATTAAGTGCAAGGAAGGATTTCAATGTTTCATAAGCCTTCTGAAATTCCATGCAAACTGAGGAGGTATATATAAATATTACTCTCAGATGGAACATTGTAAACATTGTATATTCAATATAGACACCAAGCTGCAAATAGATAAACACTAACTTAGAGTCATGAAGGCACACCATCAGTGGCTCAGTAAAGTAAATGAGTGGTTGGACCCAACCATATTTTCTGGAGCCAGAATGTGTTTTCTTCCTTGTAGTGAAAGGGCTATGTCCTTCATTACGTTGAGAACATTGTCAGTAGTTACAGGACCTTCAGTCCTTGACCCCCACAACAATCTCAGTGTTCGAATTTTGTCCTCTGAGATGTCACCCAAACCACTGATATTCCTGGTGATAATTAGAGAATCACACAGCTTAACTAAGCAACCCCCCAGGAAACAGATTTCCAGGAAAAGAGAGGGTTCCTGACCCCATTTACCTTGTATCCGGAATTGCAGATATATACTGAGCATTGCACAAAAGCATGTAAAACACACTCCTTGAGCAAAAATTGAGTTCATCATGTGAATGAAATCATATCCGAACACTGGAACAGAGAGAGTTAAAATTAATTAATGAGGAATGCAGCAATTGGGGCATCACTGCCCCCAAAGGGTTATTATCAGTAAAAGCATAGACATATCCCATGCCCACTCAACCTAGATAAGACTCAGGATGTGAGTTTAGTTTGTGGGTAGTGGCAGGGCCTAGTAGATTGGACATGTAGATTAATTGGGCTAAGAAGTTTCCATTCCTAGTTCTCACCACCTAACCTACCACAAAATTAATGTGTCTGGGGGGGCGTGGGGGGGCGGGCTGAAGAGAGGCCCTAGGAATCTTCATCATTTCTGGGGATTCTGAGGATTGTGGGACTAACCAGAAGTAGCTGCGGTGACACTGAGCTAGCTGAAAGAAAAATCTATCTGTATCCACAGACTCTGAATATACTTACACCTTTCAGCTTGAATTCCACTGTCAAGGAGCTTATTTTTACAAGCTAAATAGAGATGATTAAAATGTTTTTCCATGTATTACTAAAATATGTATTCATTTATTTTTTTATTTATATCACCTTCCAGAGGAAAATAACCAAACAATTAGGTACTTTCTAAAGACACTCAATTGTAGTAAAATTATGATCTCCACTCAAAGACTTTCATGGGGAAGCAAGGAAATTCTAATCATTGTTATATAATAGGTAGATATGTATCAGTAGATTAGATTTTCACAATGAAGAAAATCCCTAGGATACTATGCAACAGGCTGCCATATGAGTTGATAAGCTTCATGACCATTAAAGTGTGCAGGTGGAAACCTGACACTAAATACTGGAAAGAAGCATAATGAGTAGAGCATGAGAATTGGAGCCAAACACATCTGCATTCCAATCTTGGCTCTGCTACTTATGAGCTATGTGAGCCATGCCATCCTCATCCCTCAAATGGTGACAATAATAGCACTGCCTTTCAGGCTTAATTTAGATAAATTCTGTGAAATGATTATCACAATACCTAGCATAAGGTAGGCACTGAATAAGTATGGTATCAGGTTTTAAGGATCTGTTGTGTGTGTTTTTTTAAAAAAAGAGCACAATGAATTGTATCCTCTCTGTTGACTCATTTCCTCATCTCCATTAAATTGTCTACTCCATCTCCAAATTCACATCCCCCATTTAGCAGTTCACTCAGCTATATATGAGCTATTTTGCTTGGTCATAATTTTGGAAGAAGAGTTGTTTTTAATAAAGTCTGATGTACTTGTACCTGATGGGTCACTGTATAATTCAGTGA